CAGATGAGCCTTAGTAGCACGATGGACTCTGGTAGTTTGGAGAGATTGGAGAAGTGGATTAGGGATATTCAACATTGCTAAGTTTTAATAGAATATGTAGGGAGAAATGGTTTCAGTAACCCTAGATGTTTAATAATTGGCAAAAGGATGAGGAGATAAAATAGGAGGATTTTTAATTTTCTCTGCATCGAGAGTTAGATGATTTGGAACACTTTACTGAATGTGTGGGGGACATCAGATTCTGTCAGAACTTTCAAATTATATCTGGGCATGTGTTTTAAGATAATTCATTTTCAGGGTTATGACAATGAAGCTGAAAAATGAAGATAACTGGCTTAGCTCTTTCAAAGAGCCAGGAACGACATCATGGGCTGAATATCTGGCTTCTGTGTTGTAAGATTCTAAGAAATCGAGACAAATTTGCAAAGTAAAGAGCAGAACTAAAGAGAGGATTAAAAGGGCATAATATCTGACAGATAGCATAAATGAACCCAAGGTATCTTGTAATCATATAAATAATTCAAGAAACAGTATTGTGGGCCAGAGATGCAAATGAAAATCCTGACATGTTTTGAGATAAGATGATACAGTGTGGAGCTGGAGGAACACAGCAGGAAAAACAACGTTTCAGGTTGGGACCCTTCATCAAGAAGGTCTTCTAATGCTGCCTGACCTGCTGTGTTCCTCCAGCTCCACACTGTATCAACTCTGACTTGTAGCATCTGCAGTTCTTGCTATCACCTACGTTTTGAGATAATATTTACAGATTATAGCGGTGGGAATGAGAGAGACTACAGGAGAAAATAATATTCAATTATAGATGAAAATGCCCTAATTAGTCTAAAAACAAACCTGCCATTTTTCAGTCTGTATCCCTCTATTCCATCCCTATTCATGTACCCATCTAGGTGCCTGTTAAATGTCTTCAATATGGCCGCTTCTACCACCTCTTCTGCTAGTGCGTTCCAGGCTGCTACTACTCTCCGCATGAAAAACTTCCCTCACACATCTCCCTTAAACTTTCCCCCTCTGACCTTGAACCTGTGCCCCCTTGTAATTGAAACTTCAACCCTAGGAAAAAGCCTCTGACTATCAACCTTATTTATGTCTCATAATTTTGTAGACCACTATCAGGTCTCCTCTTAGCCGCTGCCTTTCCAGTGAAAACAATCCTGTCTTTTTAAACTTTCCTCATTGTCATAGAACTTCTAATTGTAGTTCTTTACTTGTCCTCACAGTGTGTATCTCTTTCATTCTCCTGTATTTATAAAGAATGGTTACATTGTTGGCTACAGAGCGAGGTTGTTTGTATTTGCCTTCTAAATACAAGTTGTATTGTGGATAGTTGTTCCTTCTCCATTAGTATTGCATGAAAATACAGCAATGCATTGTGATTTTTTTTTTTGTTGCTTGACATAATACAACAGATCTGTAGCATGAAATGTGGCTCAAACCCATATGGAATAAGAGCTGAAGACAGTTTGCTCAAGAAAGACATATGGTCTACCTGCCTGGTCTGAAGTTTCTCAGCTAATTAAGACTGACAGTTAACAGATCCTGCTGCATCTCCATGTCAACCATGGTGCAATCAGCACCCTCTTCTTATGCTCTATAAATTGGTGTTCACTTTCAGTTTGGTTTCTAGTATTCCCCTCGTTTCAGCTATCAATCTCAACTTTTGTCATGTTTCCATTAAGTTCAATGCTGAATGAACAGTCAAAAAAAGCTTTAAAAGTTTCATCCCTTACACCTGTATTCAATTCTGATCAAGAGTGTTTTTTCCATAAGCACATCTGATCGGCCACTTATTCAGCCATCATTCTTTCCCTAAACAACACACCTTTTGGTCAACATCACAATCTTGTTCCACCGGGAACTCCATTTGACATTTTAATCTCTTTCTTGATCTTTTCACTAAGAGTACGTTATCCAATAGCTTAATCTTTCAACTCCAATTACTCTCCCTAGCCCAGCACTAGCACTATGTTCGCTCAGGCCTAATCCTAACGTTGTCACTACAGAGGTTAAATCCCAACTCTCTAATGTCTCCATCCTACTCATGTAAACAAAAATTGAACGTCAAGACATTATTTCTTAGACTTGTCCCTGACCACATCAATTCTGGATATCTTCCTTCCAAAACCGTAACCTCAATATCCCAAAACTGTTTTGACCCCTTGCCTAAGAACAATAAATAAGACTGTTCTGGTTGACCGAGCTTTTCAGCTTGTTTTTGAATCTCTTGATTTCTTCCCCAATTTAATCTCTTCGGACCTACTCACCCAATTTATGGAATTTTCCAGGCCCTCAGTATCCCCTTTACACCATGGATATCCAATATCTCCATCACGTGAACAACGGCCAAACGAATTCCCTCCACCACCTTCTCCTGCCCAACTGATCAGAATCTTGCATTGAATAACTCCTTTGACTCAGTTTGCTTCCTTTATATAAAATGAAGTTTAAGGAACCCATATGGGTTATAAATATTTCTTGTTTTTTTCCTGGTAGTTGCTTTCAACACTTTATTCTAGTCTGTCTTTTGTGTTCTCTATCAGCCTTAATTTGGGTACATTGGCACTGATGCAGTCACCACTTACTGCTCTTGCTCCATACTGGAAAAATTGAAATCAATTTTGCTTCTAATTTTCAATATTTACTCTTCTTCACACAACTCATCTCTGACTCTTCCCCTCATCCTGACTTCTCCATTTCTAATATTGGGAATAGTCTTTCAATCAAAACTTATATAGGTTTGCTGTCTACTACAGCTACCTTGAGTACGCTTGTTTAAATTCATTCATGGGAAGGAGTTGCTATCAGAAACCACATTTGTTGCTAATCCCTAAATGCCCTTGAACGAGGCCATTTCAGAGAGATGTCAATAATATTGCCTTAGATCTGGAGTCACATGTAGACTTAAGCCAGTAAGGGTAGATTTCATTCTTCAGAAGGACATTAGTGAACCAGATGAGTATTTGTGACAATTGATGGTAGCTCCACAATTATTGAAGCTAGCTCTAGCTTTCATTTTGAAATTTGAACCCATGGTCCCAGGGTATTAGCCTCTGGTGCTGGATTTCTCATCCAGCAAGCTTACCACGCTGCATCACCTCTCATCATAACTAATTTCAAGGACTATCTTCCTTCTTCCCAGTTATTAGCATTTGTTCTGAAGATGCCACCCAATGCATCTGCTATAATGTTCCTTTACCTCAGCCAAACTTTGCCTCCGATTTTGATGTGTCCCTTAAGCACTTTCAACAATTCTGTTCCCACACATACACACACCCAACAAAGCCAAGATCAGATTTTCCTTTTCACTTTCCACTCTAACATTCAACAGATTCTCTATCACACACATTTGCCCTTTCCCACCTCCTTCTGTATGCTGAAGAGACTGTTCCCTTGCTGTACTTTATCTACTTTGAATATGATTCAAATTCCATGTCCCTTCCTCATGCAGGTACAGAAAATGCAATCAGGGCTCCAAACACTCTTTTCAGATAAAGAAAGGATTTATTTGTATGTCTTTCTATTTGCATCAAACAAATATTAATCGCAACCAGTGGAAATACCACATGCAGGATTGGGTAACCACAAGTGTGACTGCAGTTTTGATTGCTTGTCATTTTAAGTCTGATCCTCTCTAGCCTCTGCCTCCTACATTCTTCTACTGAAGATCAGTGGAAGTTTGATCAACAGCATGTTATCTTTCACAGACACTTTGGTGCATCTGAAATGCTATGATGAGTTCAAATTATAATTGCCACTCCTATTTTTGCCAGACAGCTACTACTGATAATGGGAACTGATAACTGCAACCACAGGAAGTGCTATACCTGCCGTACACCTCCCCTCTCACCTCCATCCAAGGCCCCAAACAAACAATCATTCCAAATCCAACAGAGATTTGCCTGTACATCTAACCTGGTCTATTGCATCCATTGCTCCAGACGTGGTCTCTTTGATATTGGAGGCATCAAGCCAAGGCTCAGTGACCGATTCATGGAGTGTCTGCACTCTATGTTCCAATCACCACCACCTGCTCGTTGCCAGCCATTTTAACTCCCCCTCCCACGCCAACATGTCCATTCTGATCCTCCTTCACTGTCACACCGAGGCCACCTGTAAACTAGACGAACATATTCCACCTCAGGAGTACATAGTCCATGGTCTCAACACAGAGTTCACCAGCTTGAAAATCTCCCCAACCCCCAGCCCTCCCTCTCATCCCTGCCTCCTTGACTTGACACAACCTGTCCATCTCCAATTTCACCTATCCACCCCACCCCTCCCATTGATCAATGTCTGCAAACCCCTATCTGCATCCACCTATCACCATCCCACCTACCTTCCCCCAGCCCCACATCCCTCCCTCTATTTACTTCTGAGCTCCCTTCCTTCTTCCCAGTCCCAATGAAGGGTCCCAACCTGAAATGCAACTTTCCTGCTCCTCAGATGCTGTCTGACCTAATGTGCTCCTCCAGCTCCGTGTTTTATCAACGGTTACTGATAAGGATTCCGGCATAATTTATAATTGCCCAAGTTTATCTTTGTTTCCTTTATTGCTCCATCATCAGCCATTTTTATTACGCACCATCATCCTTTCAGTCATCCAACCCGGTCTTCTGCTGTATTAACAAAAATACAAAATAAGAATTGGTATTTTTCCCCACCACTTTTCTTGTGCTTGTTTTAGAAATTAACTTTTTACATTTCTGACAAAAAGATCAAGAATCTGAAACATTAAGACTTTTTTCTTCATAGATGCTACCAGACCTGCAAAGATTTTTCAGTATTTTAATTTTATTTTAGAAAGACTTAGGAGGTTCAATTACAGAATCTCGAATTCTTGCTGAACTCTTACAGAAAATACTGACATTAAGAGTTGAAAAACAAATTAGTTAACTTTTAATGGAATTTTACCTGATTAATCTATTTAATAGCAGAGATATCAAATAGAATATCCTTATAATTAATCACACCAGACAAGAAGCAACTGGTAACACAAGTTTTAATTATTTAATCATTTTTCCTTCGAAAAGCAAAGAGCAAGTTTGTGTCATGCCAACAAGTTGAGTAAAATGCATTACATTGCATTTTATTCAGTTGAAGTTCCAAAAACTAAAGCTCAAATACTTACAGTACATACATTTTCATATTTTTCCCAAATAAGTGATGATAACATTTACGTTGAAACCCTTAAATTCAAGTCCAATAATTTAACAGGCTCACTTACTGTCCTCTACATGCACCTGCTACACCACTACAGTTTCCAGCGCAGAGGGTTATGGAATTGTAGATATTTCTCACTGAAGATTCTGTGCAACCCCACATCCATTTGCATTTGACAGAAGTGCAAAAAATGTTCAAATCTTTCTCACAATTACTAAGCATAATATAAATGTGATTACAGTGATTATTTGGCATCAGACGATGGTCATGACGAAGCCAGTTATCTTGTCAGAGATAAACTAAGAACATTTGCAGAAAGATTAAATACTTTAAAAGTGCACCAGTAAACTGCATCTTGGGGCAAGATCTTTTTTTAAATTTCTTCAGATTCAGTTAAGCTTGTACAATGCACCATCAAATAATCACATGCTCAAGTATTCATTTAAAAGTTACCACTACAGGTCTTGCGCTTAATTTAAGTATCTGCATATTTCCATCGATGAGCTTTATCTTTCCCATTTGATGCTCGAACCAGGAGTGACATCAGGTATTTAGTCCTTTTCGGCCTATTTGCTCAATGACCACAGTGACAAAGTCCATTCGTAAAAGGCTGACTCAGTTTCTCTCCAACAGCTTTCTCCTCCAAGTACTTATAAGTGTACTCTACAGTCTCAAAACAATGCTGGAAGCACCAAAGACATTTAATGATTCCAAGCATACTTGCTGTGAGGACATACTCCTGCATTATGTGGGAAAATGCAAGAACTCAAAGCAAGCATTTTACAAGTCAGAAAAAAAAGAAAATGCATGGAGGGACTCTAAAGTAACTATTTACTGTTATAATCTACTCCAATTTATATTCTCTTTTAAATTCCAAAGTCTTTTGGAATGATTCAGGGAATTATTTTTGCTTGTAGAAATTTAACTACTTTGGAGACATTATTAAAATAACATTCTTGTATTACAAAAGTTCACAGATCAAAAATGAATGAATGCAGAATGAAGAAAATACATCCCTCATTCATAATCTGCAATTACATCTCTCGTTCAGTACTGAAACAACAAAGACACTCTTGGGTTCCTATTGTGGGAGTTCATTTCTACAGTTGCAAGGTCAAGAGAACATAAGGTTTAATATCTGAAAAACGTGAAGACATTGTTTACCACAAAAATAAAATCCTATTCTTCATGATTTTTGCATAAACTTAAAACAAAATCAGGGTATAATCTTCCCTAACATGTAATCCGGTACTTCATTGTATAAAGAAGACAAAACAGTGTACTTCACTTTGTTTTCAGAATCAAACTGTTACTTCCATACTTTGACTATCCCATCTCGTGAAGCAGTTACAATAAATCCCTGGGTCGTTTGGAAAGCAGCAAGATCAGTGATAATGTCATGATGCCCAACTGGGAGAGATTCTGGACCTCGTCGGGGTACATCCTCTGAAGATCCAACCTTCTGCTTGTTGTGAATTTCCTTTCAAAACAAACAGGTTTTTCATTGAACTGATATTCTGAAAAAAGTGAGGATTAGACTGTAATATGGAAACAGTACTTCTACAAAAGGATATAGTTTCGGTCCATTCTTTTCCAACATTGTGTATTTGTGCAAAAGCTAACTGAAGACATAAACAATCACAAAACATCATGATATAATAAAACAAACACAAACAAACAAACAAAGCTCACAGGTCCCAAATCAGTTCTAGTATTATTTAAATGTTTTGTCACTCGTGTCTACTTTTAAAACACTGTACACACATCCTATAAAGGGAATTATGCATAAACCTGTCAAAGTTTACAAGACTATCAAACAATCAAGTAGTTACAATTTAGAATCGCCTTATTTCTTGAAAGAAGAAATAATTTGGAGTGTTTCAGATCTTACAAAATCATACTCATTCACAATTAATAAGCATGGTACTAATTTGTCATAATAAGGCCCTGTAAACCGGAATGATAACGATTAACTGGTCAATCTGTTTTAGTGATATAAAACAAAGAACTGCAGATGCTGGAAATCCACAACAAATCAGAAATTGCTGGAGAAACTCAGCAGGTCTGGTATCATCTGTGGAGAGAATGCAGAGTTAACGTTTCAAGTACAGTGACTCTTCATTAGAATCTGCGCAGGGTTGGTACTGGACTCGAAACATTAACCCTGCTTTCTTCCCATAGATGCTGCCAGACCTGCTGAGTTTCTCCATCAATTTCTGCTTTTGTTTGTAATCAGTTTTGTTGTTGTTAATACAGGATTAAGCGTTGTCTAGGATACCAAGAAAGCTCTCTGCTCATTTTCAAATGAAAGTCACAGGATCTTCAAGACCTGAATAGGCAGATTTAGAATGTGATTTAAAACTCTGACAGCACAACAGTTCCTTCGTACTGCACTGAAGTCAGTGTGGATTATGAACATATAATTCTCCCACTCAGGAAACTGCTAGCTCCTTGACTCAGTGCAAAATGTGGTGGAAATGTTAGATGTCTCAGAATCCAAAGATAAAACATAGTTTAACTTTTTTTGAGGTGGCGGGGCACTTCATCAGAATTAAGTAATTTACAACTATTTCATCACAATTTTAATTACTTATTTTCTTCCCCCTCAGTGGAATAAGTTCTGTCCTCTATTCAAAGCCTCTCCTTCCAAAACATCTTGTCAGAAAGGCACATTTCATCACTGTTCAACACATCCTGTGCGCATCTCTATCCTCTGCTCCACAATTTTTATTTTAAACCAAATTAAACGGAATTTATCCATTGGCTGATTCTGTGATCTCCAGATTTAGCTTCAAAACATTTTCTATCAACATTTGATCTCTTCTTGAATTAGAAAAGGCAGAAAAAATGTCAACTTTCCGTTCTTTGCATAAAGCTTTTTAGGCTTCATAATTAGAAAACATGGGCAGGGAGGAGATTAAGAAGAATTCATACAAGATACTGATTAGCTCTTAGCTGGAGTACTGTGTAAAGTTCTGGATGTTAGGCCATCATTAGGATGCGAATCCATTAGAAAGACAGTTTTGCAAGAAGGTTCCAGGGACATAATATTTTGGTTATGAGGAAAGAACAGAGGAGTCAAGGCAACTTTCCGTCGAAGTGAAGATTTAATAAATACTTCTAAAATCATGAGGGGTCTGACAGAGTGATTAGAATATAGAACACAGAACAGTACAACACAGCCCAAGATGTTATGCCAACGTATTATCCCAAGATCAAACTACCCTGCATACCCTACATTATACTATCATCCATGTGCCTATCCAAGAGTCGTTTAAAAGTATCTAAAGTATCTGACTCCATTACCACTGCTGGCAGCGCATTCCACACGCCCACCACTCTGTGTGAAGAACCTACCTCTGACATCTCCCCTGTACCTTCCTCCAATCACCTTAAAATTATGCCCCCTCGTTATAGTCATTTCCACCCTGGGAAAAAGTCTCTGGCTATCCACTCTATCTATGCCTCTCACCATCTTGTACACCTCTATCAAGTCACCTCTCATCCTTCTTCGCTCCAATGAAAAAAGCCCTAGCTCCCTCAACCTTTCCTCATAAGACCTACCCTCCAGTCCAGGCAGCATCCTGATAAGTCTCCTCTGCACCCTCTCTAAAGCTTCCACATCCTTCCTATAATGAGGCGGCCAGAACTGAACACAATATTTCAAGTGTGGTCTAACCAGGGTTTATAGATCTGCAGCATAACCTCACGGCTCTTAAACTCAATTCCCCTGCCAAATGAAGCCAACATACCGTACGCCTAAGATAACAAGGTGTAGAGCTGGATGAACACAGCAGGCAAGCAGCATCAGAGGAGCAGGAAAGCTGATGTTTCGGGCCTAGACCCTTCTTCAGAAATGAAGAGCCGTACTGTACCGAACTGTAACTACACCATATGCCTTCTTTACAACCCTATCAACTTGGGTGGCAACTTTGAGGGATCCATAGATCCCTCTGTTCCTCCACACTGCCAAGAATCCGGCCATTAATCCTGTATTCTGCATTCAAATTCGACCTTCCAAAATGAATCACTTCACACTTTTCTGGGTTAAATTCCATCTGCCATTTCTTCGCCCAGCTCTGCATCCTGTCAACATCCCACTGCAACCTATAACAGCCTTCCACGCTATCCACAACTCCACCAACCTTCGTGTCATCGTCAAATTTACTAACCCACTCCTCCACTTCCTCATCCAAGTCATTTATAAAGATCATAAAGAGCAGAGGTCTCAGAACACCACTGGTCAGCGAGCTCCAGGCTGAATACTTTCCATCGACTACCACTCTGTCTTCTATTAGAGACCCAGTTTTGTATCCAGACAGCCAAATTTCCCTGAATCCCATGCCTCCTTACTTTCTGAATGAGCCTACCATGGGGAACTTTATCATATGCCTTGCTAAAATCCATAAGGCTTGTGAGGCATGACCTGCCTCTCACAAAGCGATGCTGACTATTTCTAATCAAACTGTGCTTTTCCAAATCATCATAAATGCTATCTCTCAGAATCCTCTCCAGTAATTTGCCCACCACAAAAGAAAGACTGATCGGTCTGTAATTCCCAGGATTATCCCTATTCCATTTCTTGATCAAGGGAATGACATTTGCCATCCTCCAAATCATCTGGTACTACTCCAGGTGGACAGTGAGGACGCAAAGATCATCGCCAAAGGGGCAGATTGGGGAGAAACTGTTCTGACACAAAGCAAAAATGAAAGAGCAGTTTTAAAGTTTTTGCAAAAGCAGCAAATATGAGAGAAATAATTACTTGCTGTGTGAAAAAGTTAAGGTATGGAATGCATCATCTGAAAGTGGTGGAAGGAAGTTCAATTATGGCATTTGAGGGGGCAGTGGATGATTATTTAAACAGAAATGCACGCATATCGTTACAGAGAAAACAAAACAAGTATTAGAAACCAGATTAAAATGCTCACAGAGCCAGTGCACACATGGTGGGTCAAATGAATTTCTTCTACACTGTAACAAGTCAGTGATTCTGTGATTTGTATCACTCTTGAGACATTCATTCACTCTCTAGTATCTTACTGGATCAGTATTCCAAAGAACACATACAAATTCCTACCATGGACATTTTAATCATGTAAAAAGAACTTCACCCAAAAAGGTGGTGAATCTGGGGAATTTCCTGCCGAGTGAACCAGTTAAGGCTACCTCAAACGTTTTTAAGGCAAAGACAAATAGATTTTTGAACAGTAAAGGAATTAAGGGTTATGGTGAACAGGCAGGTAAGTGGAGCTGAGTCCATGGAAAGATCAACCATGAACTAACTGAATGCCGAAGCAGACTCAAATGAGCCAGATGGCCTAATCCTGCTCCTATTTCTTATGTTCTTATAAATCTGGAACTAAAAAGCTGGTATCAATAAAGTGACTCTAAAGCTGTTGATTGCCATACAAAATGTAATAGACTCACTAGTGTATCTTAGAGAAAAATCTGTCATCTAACCCTATCTGGTCTATATGTTACTTCATCTTTGCATTGTAGATAGACCGTAGCTGTGCTCTGAAATGGGCTTGAAAATTTAAAGCTAGCAAGCAAAAAGTCATTTTGTCCAATTCTTTCATTATGCCCGCTGCTAATATTAATTCTGCTTTTTAACAATTTGCTGCTCTTCATTCAACAGCTTCACATGTTTTTCCACTTGCCCTCATGTTTTTTTCCTTTACTTCCCTGTTCCTTTCTTTTTTAAATACTGCTCACATGCAATAAAAGCTTTCAGTCCTTCATTAACTGATTGACTTCTGCTTCTTCACAAGAGATTTATGACCCAGAGAACATTTCCAACATCTGCCCTTCTTAAAAAGAGTTTGAACCTTGTTAAGTAACAAGTATAGAGACCAAGGATTTCACTCAAGTCTTTTTAGGAACATTTAATAAAATTAGGATTCATTAGCTGGGTGATTTACGATGTTATGAATTAGTTAATATTCTGGCTGAAGCTACTGTTTTTACATTGCTGTAGAAATCTATAAATCATCAATTAAAATTTTTGAAGGCAATGATAACGTTCAGTGAAACCTACCTGCACAACCTCAGTTCCTTCAATTATCTTTCTATAATATGAGACAGATGGACAATGCAGAGCATCATTTGCACCTCCTGCTACAATGTATGATCGCTCTGGATATGCTAGATCCCAAAACCTGCAGGAAAGAGAATTGCAGTTAATTTTAAAATATCTTTTCCAAACGATAGTTAAGTTATTGTTTTGGTTGACTAAATGGCTACAGAGAACTGTTCCAAACTCAGTCTTTTAAGGCATCTTCGATAAAAGCAGTTCATCAGACCATCTAACTCAACAGAGCAGATTCTCCTGATGATTCAAGTGGGTGGATGAGGTGGCAAAAAGAGCTGTGGGTTTATGAAGCACCTTTCACAAATTCAGGGCACCTAGTGGTTTAAGGCTAATAAAGTCTTTTGCAGTTCAGTACCTGTTGTAATGTAGGAACTTGACAACCAATTTGTAGGTTGAACCTTGCTCTGCAATGCAATAATGCCTACATGTCTTTAGTAATACATTTGATACATTTTAGCAATGCTGTTGAGGGGATAAAAATTTACCAGGAAATTGTATAGAACTCCCCTGGCCCTTCTTCGAAATAGTGCTTTATTTGATCTTTTTCATCTAGTCAAGAGGGAAGGCAACATTGGTTTAGTGCCTCAACTGAAAAGTGCCACCACTGATAATGCAGCATTTTTGTAACATATTGAGGGATCATCTTGGAATTTGTGCACAAATCAGACTTCAATCTACAGCCCGACGACTCACAGCCAAGAGTCTGGAATGAGTTAACTGACCTGCAAGGCAGCACTGAGGGCACTACAATTCTTTTGTGTGAGAAAAATCTGCCAGGAATCTCACTAACGGTTGCTCTCCAGTCACTCTTTGTGTAATACACTTGCGTGGCCTATGGGTCAGCAAGGGGCATGATCTGATCAGCCTAGGTTTTTATTGTTCTTGTACTCTTCTGGGGAGACCCAAAGGGGTGTAACTGGTGACACTGCAGTCAGTGGGAAGAGAATCACATACTGTGTAGAACAAGTTTCTGATTAGCAATTGCCCAAGACCAATTTCTCCCTCCCAACTCATCTACATATACACTTTTGCTTATTTATTGGTAGAACATAATAAATGCCTATGCAAACACAGTGAGGATAGAAGTCAACAACTTCAAGAATCAAAAGGGTCAAAATTGAGAGAAAAAATTTTTTAAAAAGGCTAAGATTGGAAAACCTTTTATTAAAATACTCAACAGGGAAACCGTTTAATCATTGTAGTCCTGGCAAATAGTTCAGGATTTCTCAGCACTCTGGGCTGAGATGATCAGTACCTTGGCAGTTATGACAGCATCCATTATCTGCTAACCACCATTTTGAATGGTAGATGAGCAACAGGTCTAAATGTCATTCTGATCTTTACATTTACTTATAAAGAATAAATTTAACATTTTAGCTTATAAGCAGTTGTTAGCATAGAAACATTGAAGATAGATGCAGGAGTAGGCCATTTGGCCCTTCAAGTCTGCACCACCATTCAACACAATCATGGCTGATCATGGAACCTCAGTATCCCATTCCTTCCCTTTCCCCATACCCCTTGATCCCTTTAGCCGTAAGAACTACAACAGCTCCCTCTTCAATATATGTAATGAACTGTCCCCAACAGCTTCCTGTGGGAGAGGATTCCAAAGGTTCACAACCGAGTGAAGAAATTCTTCCTCATCTCAGTCCCGAACGGCTTTCGCCTTATTCTTAGACTGTGACCCCTTGTTCTGGACTTCGTCAATATTGCGAACATCCTTCCTGCATCTATTCTGTCCAGTCCCATCAGGATTTTATACGTTTCCATGAGAACCCCCTCATTCTTCTAAATTCCAGCGAATACAAGCACAGTTGATCCGATCTTTGCTCATATGTCAGTCTAGCCATCCCAGGAATCAGTCTGGTGAACCTTCGCAGGACTGCCTCAATAGCAAGAATGTCCTTTCTCAGGCCAGGAGACCAAAACTGCACACAATACTCAAGCTGTGGCCTCACCTAGTCCCTGTATAGCTGCAGCAAGACATCCTTACTCCAATACTCAAATTGTCTATGAAGGACAGCGTGCCATTAGCTTTCCTCACTGCCTCCTGCACCTACATGCCAACCTTCAGTGACTGTTCCACCACGACACCCAGGTTTCAGTGCACCTCACCTATTCCTAAACTGTCAACAGTCACTTAACGATCTTCCTTCCTGTTTTTGTGACCAGAGTGGATAATCTCACATTTATTGCATTTGCTAAGTATATGCCCACTCAGCCAGTTTGTCCAAGTCAACCTGCAGCCTCTTAGCATCTTCTTCACAACGCACATTGCCACCCAGTTAGCGTCATCTGCAAATCTGGAGATATGGCACTCAATTCTTTCATCCAAATCATTAACATATATTATTAACAGCTGAGATCCCAGCATGGAATCCTGTGGCACCCCACACGTCACTGCCTGCCAATCTGAAAAGGACCCATTTATTCCTCCTCTCTGCTTCCTGTCTGCCAACAAGTTTTCTATCCATGTCAATACATTACCTCCAATACCAGTTTATCCTAGTCAATGTATGCCTCATACCAAAGTCAGCTTTAAGTTCAGGACCCTAGATTCAGACTTAATTGTGTCACTCTCCAACTTAAATGAAGAATTCTACCATATTTTGTCACTCATCCCCAAAGAATCTTGCACCACAACGTTGCTAATTAATCTTCTCTCATTAAACAATAACCAGTCTAAGATGGCTTGCTCTCTAGTTGGTTCCCCGACATATTGGTCAAGGAAACCATCCCTCATACATTGCACGAAATCCTCCAACGCATTGCTAAGTTTGGTTAGTCTAATCAATATGTAGATTGAAGTTACCCATAAATCATAAAAAGACAAATTTGACAAATGTTCAGGAATACTTTTAATGCAGCGTCATAATAGCAAAGACAAGACACACAAGAATGCAAGAATCAGACAAGTGGCTGCTTGCAGAACAGTTAATTGTAAAACAGCAACACAGTACGCTTTATCCATTTCCAGTGCAATTAACCACAATTTGTTTTCAAAACAGTGTGGTAATGATATCTGCTGATATTTATATGCTAACAGTAAAGCACCTTCAGGTGAAGTTAGTTTTGGTATTCAGAAATTATCAATAGGGTTCATCTCCAATACTTATACACAAGTTTGAAGTAATAATTATCCTTTAAAAATTGTCCAGTTTTTCTACTTGATGTAAATTAGGAAAGTAATGAATTTACAGACAAAAAAAAAAAAAATTACATAAATAACCCAGTCTACAATATGGAAGAACAGGGCATTTGTTTGGACTGCAGCACATAGGGTCGTCTGGACAGCGAGACTGTCCAGAACAATCACATCTGCAAAGAATGTTTCTGTCAGAAATGTTTCTGACTCAGTCAGTATATGTTGAGGGACTCTGATACATAACAGTCAGCATTATCTGGACAGTTTTGCTACAGATTTTAATCAAAAATTGTGCAGAAGTGCAGATACTGAAGTGGGTTGGTGCAAATGATAACTGAATTCCTCTGAACCTGTACATTAAGTTAAAAAATAAGGATATACAGAAGGTAATACTATTCCATAATGAGGAGACGACCCATATGCTTTTGGAGGTATTTTCCTTTTGTGCAATGTCCCTTTAAGGCCAAAGTGAGCTGGGAGTGCTCTGAAGGAGCATTAATTAGTTACTTCATAATGACATATTTGGGTTCTAAGAAATACCCATGTGACCAAGGGTTGCCATGGGTACGAAACCTAAAAAGCAACAGAAAGCCACCTGTAGTGGGTTGGGTTAGCCTGTGCTTTCCATTTGGCAGTTCAGAATTATGCAAGGGTGAAAAAAAAAGACAAGATTGTCTCTGAATGGAAATTTTCTGCTGTATCTTTAGAATAGATCCTGGGTATTCAAGCAGAATTCTGAGAACAGAGCAGAGACTATTCTACTGTATTTGTTATACGTTGGAAGGCGAGCAGAATAAAGACTTGTGGATAGGACAAAATTCACTTCTGTTCCATTATTTCTAGAGCCCACCATGCATTTACAATATTCATAAAAAAGGATTCACTTGGTGGTGTCTGTGACCAGGGATTTCAACTTCTATCGAAAGTGACTCAAGGTCCAAATTGATTGGATAGGAAATAAGAAATCCTAAAAATTGGTGACAGTTTTAGAAAGAATGAAATTCACATGGTCCCATATTTGTGCATGAAGTAATGCAAGAGCTTGTAACAAATGCAGGTACATCTTCCCTGCATCTGAAATTTACCTTTTCATTTGACATATCCTTTACCGATTAAATAATGTTAGTTATATTTATTTTAGTTGCTTGTTACAGTTACATGTTTAATTTTCCCATTGGTTTTCTTTCTATTAGCTTTGGGGGATTCGTTTCATTTTAATGTTACTGCTATATATAGGGCTTGTAACAACAGAAACCATGCTTGTTACTAATAAGGATAAGGAATGGAAACTATTAGAAGGGCAGCCAATATGCAGACCATGGAATTATGGATAAAGACCTGTCCAAAAAGTGAAAAGAAGAAAGGAAGCATAAAGTGGTAGTTGTAGATGATTTAATAGTAGGGGGAACAGATAGCATACTTCATAAGCAAGACAGAATTCCACAAGGTACGCTTCCTGTCTGGTTGCAGGAGTAAGGAACATCTTTTAAATGTTTCTGGCATGAAAGACAGGGATATAAAAGAACTGAGGGGGTTGCGCTACTGATTAGCGAGAATATCAAAACTGCACTGAGGGAGGACACCTTGGAGGGCTCATTCCGTGAGGCCATGTAGATAGAGGTCAGAATAGGAAGGGTGCAATCACTTTGATGGGATTGTATTACAGGTGATTGAAGAACAGATGTGGACAGATTGTGGAAAAATGTGAAAACAACAGGGTTGTTGTACTGGCTGATTATAACTTCCCTTATATTGACTGATACTCACGTAGTGCTAGGGTGTTGGGGGTGTCCAGAACAGTTGTTTGAAACAATATGTAAATAGCCCAATTAGGAAATCAGCTGTACTAGACACAGCAATGGAGAATGAGCCCTGCCAGGTATTGAAGGTTTCAGTAGGTTAGCATTTCAGGAGTGACCATAATTCTTTAAGTTTTAAGTTACTTATGGAGAAGGATAAGAGTAATCCTCGGGTGAAAGTACTAAACTGGGGGAAGGCGATCTACCACAAAATTAGGCAAGACCTGGGAAATGTAGACTGGAAGCATCTTGCATGTGGGAATCTTTTAAAGACCAGTTGATCAGAGTTCAGGATCAGCATGTTCCTGAGAAAATGAAGGCTAAAAATGGCAAGATTCGGGAATGTTAGATGACAAAAGAAATTGACAGCGGAGTCAAAAAAGGAGGCAAATGTAAGGTTTAAGAAACTGAAAACCGTCAGAGCCCTGGAGAAAACAGATAGCAGGAAACAATTCATACAAAGGGATTAGGAGGGCTAAAAGAGGCCATACCCTGTCTTTGGCAAACAAAATTATGGAAAATCCAAGGCATTTCTTAATATAAGGAGCAAAGAGAGGTTATGTTGATATTCTCGGACATGTCAATACAAAAATGGAGGTGGTATTGGATGTTTTAAAAAGCATTACAGAAGACAAGTCCTTAGGACCTGATGAGATCTTTCCCAGAATACGGAGGGAGGTGAGGGAGGAACTTGCTGGGGCTTCAAATGAAATCATTGTATTCTCTTTCGTTACAGGAGATGTCCCAGAGGACTGGAGAACAGTTAACGTTGTTCCTTTGTTTAAAGAAGGCAACGGGGATAATCTGGGAAAATACAGGCTGGTGAGCCTTGCATCAGTGGTAGGGAAATTACTGTTGAGGATTCTTAGGGATAGGATTTACTAACATTTCAAAAAATATGGACTTATCAGCATTAGGCAGCATGGCTTCGTGTAGGGAAGATCACGTCCTGAAGAAGGGTAATACCCAAAACGTTAATGTCTCCTTTCCTCCAGAAGCTGCTGGGCTTGCTGTGACCTTCCAGCCCCGTGTGTCTCACAATCTTGGTTGAGTTTTTTGGGAAGTGACAAAGATGATTGATGATGGCAAGGCAGTAGATGCTGTCCATGTGGACCTTAGCAAAGTCGTTGACAAGGTCCCTCACGGCAGGCTGATATAAAAAGTGAAGTCGTATGGGATTCATGTTAAGGTGGCAAGATGGATACAGAACTGGCTTTGTCATAAAAGACAGAGCAGCAGTGGAATGCCATTTTTCCAACTGTGACTGGTGGTGTTCCACTGGGATCGGTGCTGGGACACTTGTTGTTTGTTATACATAGAAATATGATTTGGAGGAGAATGTAGGTGGCCTGATTAGTAAGTTTGAAAAGATTGGCAATTCTCACTCTGCAGCTCCCCCAAAGGATACAGTAACATATAGGTAGGCTGAAGGCTTGGGAGGAGAAATGATGGATGGAGTTGATTCCGTACAAATGCAAAGTGGTGCACTTTGGAAGATCTGTTGCAGGAGAGAAGCATACAGTAAATGGCAGAACATTTTTTAGTATCAATTTAAAAAAATCAGGTGCACAGGTTTACAGTTCCCTGAAAGTGGCAATGCAAGTGGATGAGGTGGTCAAGAAGGCATATAGCTTGCTTGCCTTCATAGGTCATGGCATAGAGTGTATAAAAATTGACAAGTCATGTTGCAGCCTCATAGAACTTTCATTAGGCCACATTTGGTATATTGCGTGCAGTTGTGGTTGTCACACCACGAGGAGGATGAGAAGGTTGTGGAGACGGTACAGAAATTGTTTACCAGGATGGTTGCCTGGTTTGGAAGGTATTAGCTATGAGGAGAGATTGGAGGGTGAGGGACGACCTGATAGAATTTTACAAAATTATGAAAGGCATAGATAGAATGGATAGTCGGAGTCTTTTTCCCCCGGGGTAGAAATGTCAATTACTAGGGGGCAAATTTAAGGTAAAAGAGAGAAAGTTTAAAGGAGATGTGCGAGGCAAGGTGTTTTTTTTCTAAACAAAAAGTGTTAATGGCCTAAAATGCGCTGCCAGAGGTGGTGGAGGAGATGGATACAATAACAACATTTAAGAGGGATCTTGACAGATATATGAATAGGCACGGAATAGAGGGATTTGATAGCTTGGTGGCAAAAGGTTTTTAGTTGAGAAAAGCATGAGTCACCCCCGTTTGGTGGTCCAAAGGGCCTGTTATTGTGCAGTACTGTTCTTTGTATTTTTGTCTTTGTATTTTATCCCTTACAAAGAAACTGGAGAGTGAAGTAGAGGAGCCAAGTCATTCTAGCCCGACTAGGGCCAAGATCCTGTAACAAGAATGAGGAGCTAAACTAAAAGAACAGACCCTTTAAAAGGTTAATATCTCTGAATTCTTGTCCAAGTACTACATTTCTTTTTCTTTTGTTCTTTAAAAATCCAGCCCAACGTGTGGATATTTAATGGCATATTCTGAAGTACAAAAAAGTCCTGTTTTAAGGAAACAAAATAAATCAAAATCAAATGCACAATTCCAATCAAGAACTAACCAAAGTACATCACCTTATCCGCATATCTGATCCAGCAGTTAGTAGCAGAGGATTTCCATCTGCTGGGCTGCAGTAGATTCCATGAATACTATGTGGTGAAGGCTGAACAGTAAAATAGAAAGCTAATCAGTTAACAAAATACAATTAGATCTTGAATTTGTTCTAATTATCAACATTGAGGTATAAGACTAGCTTCTTCATATTATAAATAGAACAGCATCGTCTACATTAAGAAAAATACTAGATGATGATCTCTCATGGCATTGAACACATTGGGAGTTCAGACTAGGCACCCAATTGAACCTGCTCTACATCTGCTTATTCATTTCCCCATGGCCACTGAAGTTTATCATCTTGTCCACAGCCCACCTCCTGCTAACTTGATCCCCAATGTCTCTAAAATGCTGACCTGCCAGTGCTAGCACCACACACTAGCTAACATGCTATATGGTTTTCTCTCTCTCCCAAGCACTATTCCTCTAACTTTCACAATGGTCACATCACGTCTTCTTCAAATGTAACCACAACCTCTCTTCTTGCAGATTATCACAACATCCCCAACTTGCCAAAATCCTGAAAACACGGTAACACCTTACAAATACACGTCTTCATGTGCCTTCCACAGCATAGAAACACCTTTAACTGAAGGCAAAAGCTGCATTGTCTGTGACCGTGATCATAGTGTAGTATACCGCCTCATCCATTCTACAGACTGTCACAAGCCAACCACAATATCTGCCTATAACGTACCCCTCCATGTCCATATGGAAAGGACTTCCTTAACTTGCTTCTATTCTTTCCTATTATCTTGAGAGAATCAACAATGGAATCTATTCCAGCACGCTTTCTCAAATGTTTGAAAACTGTAGTTATTGTAAGGAGGTCAACATGGTGGACCCCATAGAATAGGAGTTCCCCGACTGGGGCGGTCAATCTGGTCGAATCCAATGGCTGACAGATATAAACAGGAGCATCAGAGGCTCTTTTCACTTGAGAGCTGGATCAGTGTTAAGAATGTCCCACATGTAAAGTAGAGTGACTTGATGACAGGATACCAGCCTCTGTGGATTCATTTCAAAAAGCATCCTCTTTTTCATGATCCAGATGATATTTTCTTTAACTCTTTTCTGCAGATGATGACAAAGTTCACAAATATCATGACAAGTCTACCTCTCCTGACCATTTCACTTCCTTTATCCTTTCAGACTATTTGCCAGGTATTTATATTGGTTAAGTCTAAAGTCATCCAACTGAACAAGGATAGGACCAAAATCATCTTTAGGTCACCCTGTCACAAATTCTGTGCCCTTACCAAAAATACCAAGCATTCTGTCTGCACTGGCAAGGAACTCTCATTATTTTACTCTACCCTAATCTGAGCTCTAACCCATATCTTCTCCATCACAGAACCACCTTTCAGTTCTATAACATCAACTGCCTCTACTTCTACCACAGTAGACCTGCTATGCTCATCCATCAAACCTGTCGTCACTAAATTATTCTCAAATTTAGTCTCTATTCTTCTACTGCAATCTTTTCATAGTCTTATCTGTTCCTAACTCCCTAGCCTTCTACAATCCCCAAACTCTAATTCTGACTTCTTGCGCTGCTATTCCCACCAACACCACACTCAAAAAATTTGACCACACCTCATTCACAGCTTTGCTTTCAGTCACATTATTTCCTCCAGTTCCCAGACTGCTCTAAAAGTCTACTACAAACTAATCTCATTCGTGAACATGTTGGTGTGATGCAAGCTTATATTACTACTGAAAAAGCCAGATTCCACAGTGAAATCTAGCATATTAGAACACCTTTCAAAAAAAAGGTCAGCTACTGAACACATTCATAAGAGGCTGCTAATGTACTTTTAACATAAATGAAGAAAACATTTATTAAAACAAGTAAATTATGTTACATTTGACATAGGCAAGATGTTGGAAATATTTCAATATATCAGAAAAAGATTCAAATTCACATTATTCATTTCATCTCAGCAATATCCTTACAAACTCCCAACCTTCAGTGAAGAGTTACTAACAGATGCACACAAAGACTCCTTGCTTAGGCTCACACTGGTGCAGCTGCCATCCGTTTCCTTTTGGCAAATATGTGTATATGGAATACATGTTTTGCCTTCAACTGGTATCTTTGCATGAGGCATTTAAAAGAAACTGAAAACTAAATTCATTATGATCTCAACTTCAGAACAACTAGATGAGTTTGCTAAATAGACCTTCATTCTATAATATAGATACACACAGAGTGACTGACTTTCTAGATTAATTTGCCTTTCTCTATGTCGTAGGAAACATGGCACTAAGCAACAGCACAGCATTTCGCTGCTCCTTTTTAATGTAATGAACTGTTCGTCTCAAGTTTCAATACCTCATTAAGGTACATGCATAAACAAACCTTAGACTTCAAGCACTAACCCACAAGATCACTCAAAATGTAACTAAACCTTGCTTCTTAGCACAAAAAAAAATTCATCTTTAAACTTACGTATACACATTGTTCTTAACTCTTTCTAATATCTTATTCACTCTGTGCCCATACTTTTGATTATACCTGCATCAGCAAGGTTATGGGCGTTTTAGATGAAGAGCTGCTTGGAGTTCACTCCAACTTGCTATTCTCATTAAGCTTTTCTATGCGATGGTAATGTCATGAAGGGAAGAAAAAAAATTCAAATACTTCCTTTGGAGGCAAGAGCACTATAAATGAACATACATTTTTAAACTGAGTAAGTTTTGGTTGAATAGGGTATAGGAAAGTGCCCTCTATCTCAATTGCAGAGGTAGGGACTGATACTTTTGTCCTTAATGTCAACATTGATAGATTTCTTTTACAACTGTTTGTCAATCAGGAGGCAGAAATTGTAGTTAATGTTAGCTAAACTTACATTTAAGCTTTGAAAACTGAGCCACAAACCTGCATTTCAGAGAGAGGTGGAGCACTGCTGGCCCAAAGGGTGAATCGCCTGTCTCCAGTTTCCATGTCCCACATTGAAACTTCATTATTTCCTTGGACAGCTGAACAGATACGTCAGCATAAACGAGATTAGACGCTCACTTTTCAGCATGCAGGTTTCTCATATTTAACTTTATGCCATGTTGTTATAAATGTGCAGAGTTTCCCATTATGTTCTACATTTTTCAACTTGTGTCAAGACAATCATCTCAAAGTTAACTCCAATCATTTATTTAATTATTTGAGGAATGCATACATTGAAGACTTAATCACAGCCACTAAGCGAACATTAATTGAACCACATAAGTTAACTGGAGAATAGAAAGAACGAGTTGCCGTTGTCATCAGATGCAAAGAATGCATTGTAGCTCCAATACATGGTGCTACTAAAAGCTCCAATGAGAGATTATAATATTCCTGCCACACCCCCCCGCCCCTCCCCGCGCCACTCACCACCCCCTTGTCAGCTTCCACTCAAGTAACTGTGCCAACATCTGTCTTGCTCCAGTGAAAGCTGGTGGACTT